TGGATCCATGCATCCAGTTTTGCTTTTCATGCTGCTATAGATGAGGATAAACTAACAGGAAATAGCTCTTCACAGTGGGCGAGTGAGACATCCATTCCAGTAAGGAATCCTAACTGAGTCCCCAGGGTAGAAGGAGGGGAGTCTGTTCTGAGAGAGCCCAGCTTGAAGTTCTTGACAGCAGTTGCTGGCATTTTGCTAATTGAATAACATGGGGAAATTAGCCTGGCCATTTCTGGGTCCAGCACCATGTCATTGGTAAGAAATGGCTTGCCATATAGTGCCTCAAACAGGCTTAGTCCCTAATAGTTAGGGTGTTTAAGCCTGATTAGAAGTATAGGGGTAATTTAATCTAAGGAGATCTGGTATCCTGGATGAGCTTCTTTAAATACCTCTCTGAAATTCATTAGCCTCTTTCAGTTTGCCTGACACTAGGTGCAATGTAGGGGAATCTGACTTTTTAAAGTTTCAGAAGTTAGGCTTTCAGTGGCTTTTGCCCTGAAGGCAGATCTGTTGTCACTTGGAGGATTTACAAAGCCCATATCAAGGGATTATTTATGTAAGTAAAATCAACCCTTTGTGTTTGGCATGGAAGGGCCACTATCCAGCCCAGGAAGATATTCACTAAAAATTAGAATTAGGTCCTCTAGGCATTTGAATGAAGTAAAAATTTGTGCTTCTTTCCTAGATAGATACCTTGCCTTTGGGGTCCTGGGGACTTGAAGGTACCTTTTTGATAGGTTAATCTTTTGGCATATTTCACATCCTTTGCCACCTACTGGATTACCTTTTTGAAACCTAAAAACACTTCCTTGGCTAGAAGAGCATTTTCTTCTCTAAATGATAACATCCGGTAAAGGGATTTTAAAACTTTGTGAGATTTTAGTAGTAGCAACTGGTCAGTGGGAGAGAGCCAACTATGGTCAAAATGACAGCCAAAGATTGTTTCTTCAGGGGAATATTTGTATCTTTTAGGGGGTAGCAGGAATTCTTCCCAAAGAACAGGGCATTTCTCATGACCCAGCTAGCTCTTGGCTTCCAAATCTGCATCCCTTTTCCCTTTAGCTATAAGATCCCCTCCTATTTGATGTCTAGGATAGTAGTTTCTTGACAGATACCAGGCAGGGCAATAGGGTTGTACCCAGAAGCTTACGGCTCTCTCTTGAGATTTCTTATGGGGGTTTCACTCTTGTCTTCAGTAGACCCCTTTCTTTCCATATTGTTGTGGGCATAAAAAATCAAGAAAGAACCTGGAATCTGTATATATACTGACTCTTTTTCTTGTGATAATTCTAATGCTTTGGTAAGGGCTGTCGTTTTGGTAAGTTGAGCATTGAACTTCTGGGGCAGTCACTGTGAGTCAAGGGTACCAAAAGTAGTAACTATTATATACCCTGCGTATCTGTAGCTAGAACTCCCATCTGTTTAGAGTGCCAAGCTAGGAGTTTGTAAAAGTTGGTCTGGGAGATCGGCTGGGCTGCATAGGTTTTTGTTAAGACCATTTTGCTTGAATGAAGTGGTTATCTTCCGCTTTTGGCAGGAAAGTGTCAGAATTAAGCTTTTTTGCAGAAAATAATATTAATAATAACACCTGCTCTGCCTACCACAAAGGTTTGGTATTTTAGCAATCAGCTATCATACAGCTCTAAGTGCCCTTTAGAATTGAAATGCCCCAATTCATTCAGACTGTGGACAGGGGTGGGAGCATCCAAAGATAAACTTTTGAGCCTTGGTACTTAGAAGTCCTACTGAGGCTACAACCCAAAGAGAGCTAAGCCGTCTATATATATTGCCACTTTATCTAGTTCTTATGTGTCCTACTGGTTTAGGGACCTAGAAATTGTGTATTGTCCCTAATGCTTTCTCTTTTTCCTCTCCCTTCCCTTCTCTCTCCTCTTCTCTCTCTCTCCCCTCTCTCTTCTCTTTCTCTCCCTTCTCTCTCCTCCTCCCCCCCTTACACAGAGTTTAAAGTTAGGTTGGGTGAACAGTTCCAGAGCTGGTGCTCCAGTTAAGACCTTCTTTCTTTTGAAAGGCCAGGGATTCAGAGGTCCATTCAATCTGAGTATAGCCTTGTGTTTCCATTTTCTTGAAACTCCTTGAAAGAGAGACATGGTCAATATACTATATCCTGAGATCCAAATCATATAATATTCTGTGACTCCTAGGAAGTCTTTCAATTATTTTAGATTTTTTGGGAAATGGGAAGGACAGGATAGGTTGGATTTGTTCTGACCTTAGGGCTCTGGTTCCTCCTGCTAGAATATGACCAGGATAAGCAATTCTGGTTTGATTGTGCCTTATCCCATGTTATCCTGTATCCTCTTTCCGCAAGAAGGTTAAGGAGAGGGTCTGTGGCCCAAGGGATAATCTCCTTGGAGAAGACCATCCATGTGTTGGAATGGTCCAGGATGGTAAAGGGCTGGCTCCAAAAGGTGTGGGCTGCCTTGAAAGCTTTGCAGGAGCATAGTCCATGTGACCGTCCAGTTCTTTGAGTAGCTCCTCAAAGGTGGAGGGAGGTTTGCCACTGGTGTGTATGGGAATACAAAGTAAACCATTGTTATTAATACAGAGCTGTGAATGGTGCAGGGAGGAATCCCAATCAGGAGAGTATAGGGCTTGGGAATTATGGAGTAAAGAGGGACCGCTGCCTCATTAATGAGTCAAAGATCTTGAACTAATCTTCACTTGTTGGAATCCCTTCGTTATTCTCAAAATAGTGGTAATATATTGACTGATCATTTCATTAATGATCCCTGTTTCTTTAATATTTTAACTATGGTGATGAACTCCTCCCTAACTTCTGGTTTTAAAGGAAATTATCTCTAATGTGGAAAATTGAAAGGACTTTTAAAATGAGTGGCCATAGGGATGACGGGATAATAGGGAAGGATCCTAGCCTTCCCTGTCAGGTCCCTATTTGTCCATGCTATTTGAATAGTTTTGGATTCTATTAGCAGCAGACAGTAATGTCTTGAGGAAAGAAGTTTGACTTTGAGTTTGGCCAGGAGATTTCTTGATCTTCTTAAAGAATGGCAAGAGTTTGGGGGATTAAAAAAAAAATGACAGAAATAGATTTCACCCCATTAAAGGTAAGAGGTTGGATAAATAATGCTGAAGGGGATGGCCCAAAGAGCCCCAAATAATAGACTTTGGGGGAGAATCAGACACCGGGGAGAAAGGGAGGACACAGATAGAGTTTCTTTGTTGATGAGGGTATTGATTTGACTTTCCTCCACTGTAAAGACTTCTCAGGACTCCTCAAGCTGGATTGATCCTGGGACCTCTCACTGATATAGGAGGCATCTGATCTTCCAGTGATCACCCTTACATTAGAGAAAGGTCCTGGGGGAGGCATTTGTCTCTGAGCATTCTTGCTTGAAATGGCCTTCCTGCCTACATAAGAAACATATAACAACCCTAATTGTGTTTATCTGTGCAGCTATCAGCAGTTTCCTTTGACATTAATCCTTTTTGCCACTCCTTCTCCCAGTACCAGTTATAGAAGACCAGTGTTGCAGCTTGAACCAAATTAATTATCCAATGGCTTGCCTGGCTCAACATCAATGTTTAGAGCTTTCTAAATATAACTAGGGCTAATCAAATTGGGCATTTATCATGTTAGGTGATCTCTGCCTATGACCATGATTCTGTGTTAGTATGTATTTTACAGCTTCTTGAGATCTTTGGAAGAACATCATGGGAGACACACTGTATTCAGTTAGGCATAGTTTAGGGGTTAATTTCTGAGATCTTCTAGGCTGCGGTTAAGGAGTACCCATAAGTCCATTCATCTCTCTGATCCTCAGGATTGAATTTAGGATTGGATTAGAACTGCCTTGTAACCAGTGGGAAAGTTGGAGGATATCCTTTTTTCTCTAGAGGTATAGAAGTCATTTCTAGCATGGACATCTAATCTCCCACTCAACTCTCTGGAAATGTCAGTTTATTCTGACAATAGCATGCCAGAACATAAAGTTCTTACTGGTCAAAGGCTGAAACATACAGAGCAGCGCCATCAACAAAGCTCCTGTCTCTCTTTCTTTTAGTTCAGACAGAGGACGGGAGCTGCACACATAGGTTGCCCCAGATTCCCCTCTAGCGATCTGCCTACTTGAAAACATCCCTTGTGGAAGAAAAAGGGCTACCTGGGACAGCCTTTCCACAGTAGGGGAGGGCTCTGCTCTGTCTAAACGGCTGCAGATTGGGATTAGGTAACCAGAAGTCGTGAAGGGATGAAATAATCATGTTGGGCAGCTCCTGAGTTTGGGGATTTGGATAATTTTTTGGTGGTTCAGAAAGTTTTAGGAGGTTGAAAGTTTCTTGGCCTCTGACTCCTCTTTTTTGACTAGACCAAATCACAGTGAAAGTATGAGGGTCCATTGTACATGACTGGGCCAATTTAGAGTGAGCATTCAAGAAAAAGAACAATTAAACATATGGATCTCAGCCTATTTTTCCTCTTGCTTGCAAAGGAGATTGAGTGGGCTGATGGTATTAGAGTTTAAAGTGCTTCTGGAGGCCAGGGTTTCCAGTCACTTAGCTGGTATTCTGGCCAGGGCAGGGGCCATTTTTTCCTTAAGACTCTTAAGGGTCAATCACTGCAGTTTTTTAGGAGGCACAGCAAGGGAGAATTTGATGTGAACTTGGATAGCGTCAAATCTATCTGAAAGCAAAAGCAAAATGGGAGCATTCGGTGGAAAGACACCCTCTCTCCTGCTCTCTGGAAACACTCAGAAACACTTTCTGGTCTCAGAAATCCCTTATGTTTTCAGAGATTATGTCTAACTTGTGATCTATTGGAAGGAACTTTTCCAGTGCAGTATGGCTTACATTTTACATACATGCATATTTAAAGTTTGCACAAATGTGCATGCACACATACAAGTAAAAAGACATAGGTTTGGGGGAGGCCAGTTGTATCACTGGTTTAATCATTTTAATCTACTATCTAAGAAAACATTTTTTGTTATCTTGATTTTTTTTTTTTTTTTTTTATCCTTTAGATTACAAAAGATTATTGGTCAAAAAAAGACTGGTGACACGGAGAAAAAAGATGAGCCCAGCAAAGACAGCCATCAAAAGGCTCTAGTTGACCAGAGATACTTTCAGGTATTGAATAGCTGATGAAAAGACTGGTGTCTGTGATGGTCTTTGGTTTTAACTACAGTGTAATACATTATCCCTATGTAAGGAATGTTTGTACGTGCAACTCTTGGTATCTGTATTGGTTGACGCTTATGGATGTCTAAATCTGCAAAATCCCTTATGCAATGGCATTGTGTTATGACTTGAGTGCAAATGTCCCCTCCAGGTCAAGTGTTTGACCATGTGGTCTCCAGTCAGGCTGTGGATCCTGTAGGAGGTGGAGCCATGCTAGAGGAAGTGAGTCACTGGGATCAGGCCCTGTTTTTACTCACTCTCCACTTCCTTTGTGTGGATATAGAGTCGTCTCCTCGTCTCTAGCCTTGCCACGAGCCTTCCCTGCTTATTCTTAGGTCTTTCCTGCTACGAGGGACTAGAGCTCTCTGCAACTGTGAGCCAAAAAGAAACCTTCTTCCTTAAATTGCTTTTTTTTTTTTTTCAGGATTTTTCATCACAGAAACAGAAAACTAAGACATAATATTTTCCTATAACCCTCCCATATCCTCTTTATAATAACTAGTGCAGTATAAATACTGTGTAACTCTGTTGTGTAAGATTTTAAAATTCTTTCCTCTCTCTGTTTAAGCTGTTTATCCTTTTATTGTTCTATTGTTTGTATTTTTAATTTTTATATAAGTAAATCTTCAGATCTTTACATGGCTTAAATTAGATGATGTGAAAATTAACCTTACTGTTTATTGAATAGATGAATAACTAAGCCCAGTAGTTTATTGAATAAGTGGGCTTGCACTTAAACATTTTGGTTCCCCGAAGGATTTTGAGTTTTCATGTTTTTTGTTTATTTGTTTGTTTTTTGTTGTTGTTGTTTCTTTGTTTGAGACAGGGTCTCTCTCTGTAGTTCTGGGCTGTCCTGAAACTTGCTATGTAGACCAGACTGGCCTCAAACTCAGACATTTGCCTGCCTCTGCCTCCTGATATATATATATATATATATATATATATATATATATATATATATATA